GCCTCCCCCCATGGCCTCCCCCATGGCCTCCCCCCATGGCCTCCCCCATGGCCTGGTGACTTCACTGGGAGAGCCGGGGGTGGGAGAGGGCCTCGCGGCACTATTTCTGGCCTGGTGGCTCTCCAAACCACACAGCTCTGAAAATAGCTCGCTGGGCGGCCCTGACGGTGAGCAGGCGGAGGGTCGGGCGCGGCCCTCTGCAATCACGGCTCCGGCTCCGGGCAGAGGAGGCGGGGGGGGGGGGGGCGGCCCAGGGCGGCAGAGGAGGCCCGGGGGTCCCGGCCGTCTGTCCACACCCGGCTCCCCTCCTGCCCTTCCCTGAGCTCTCAGCTCAGAGTCAACTCTGCTCCGGCCCCTACTATGTAGCTGTGCTTGTGGGAACAGACTTTAACAAAAGTGTGCGTGCGTGTGCGTGTGCGTGCGCGCGCGCGCCTGTGTGATGTATGTATGTGTGGGCTGTGTTTCGAGGCACATGTGCTCAGAGAACAACCTCAAAGTTGGTTCTTTCATTCACCCTGGGGATCAAAGTCAAATCTCCACCTTGTGAAGCTGCCGACCACTGCGCCATCTTGCCAGCCTCTGACCCGCACGCGTGCGCCCACACATGCACACGCATGCACGGCTGTGTGGGCCTACAGAGTTTCAAATTGTGTCCATAAAAGTAGACGGACTCGGCGAGGCCACGATGGGAGCTGTAGTCCGCCGCAACTGCTCTATAAATGGAAGACGGACGGCTGCCGTGCGCCCCTCGGCCCGACGCCGCGGCCCCGGGGTGACCCAGGGCGGGAGGGTTACTTAATCCAGAGGGATGACCAGGGCCACACAGCAACCAGCAACCGTAAATGGGGGAATCCGACAATGACGTCAGCCGCCCGCAGGCCACGCCTGGGGCTGGATCTTGGGTCAGTCTGTCTGTCTGTCTGCTTTCAGGTCAGTCTTTCTGTGGACTTCAGGCTGGCCTGGGCTCTCGAGGTGGCTCAGGCTGGCCTTGAACTCTCCATCTTCCTGCCTCAGCCTCCCAAGCGCGTAGACTGAGGGTCCCACATCCAGCATAACGTCATCCTTCCGAGCCTCAGCTTTAAATACTTCTAATTCAGGCGGAGCTGAGTGTGAGCCCGGCCCGGGCTACAGAGCAGGGCCAGGACAGTTAAGGCTACACAGAGAAACCCTGTTTTGTAAAACCCAAAGAAAATGAACAAATAAATAAAAATTAAAAATACGTGCTCAGGGTAGGCTTCAGACCAGGGCCTGGTGTTCAGGCGCCGAACACTTCCCACGAGCCCTCCTCTCTCTCACGCTTACTACGGAGTGCGAGGTGTCAGTGCGTGTCGTGTCGTGTGTGGCTGAGTGTCCTCAGGCCGTGTGGGCCCTTGTGAGGATCCGTGTGTCTCTGACAGGCTCCTGCTTTGCCGCTGCAGCCAGGCTGGCCTTGAACCCACAGGCCCCCGTGGCACACACCTGGCCTCTTCCTACTAACCGTGCAGGGAAGAGGGAGCCTGAGCGGGCTCCCCGCGCGGCCTGCCCCCAGGCCCAGGCTCCAGCCCGAGCCTCTCCTCTCTCCCTGCCCGGCCCCCAAGGCCTCAGGTGGCCGAGGCCTCCACCCGCCTCTGGAGTCCTGCTCCCTGCTTTGTGAGGCGCTGAGGCTTGAACGCAGCCTTCGCAAGGCGGAGCTCTACCCACTGAGCCTCACCCCAGCCCCTGGGGCCTTTCTTCCTCCTCCTCCTCTTCCTCCTCCTCTTCAGAATGTTCTGCCCTGTTTGCAAACCCCGAAAGGCCAGGAATAAACAGACTCCGCTGTAAATCCATGAGGATCTTTTTATTGTAAATCATTAAGAAGAAATAGCGTTGCTTGTCTGCCCCTGCCTCCCCCCTGGGCCTGTCTGGCTTCTGTTCCCCGAGGGTTGCTCTGCGGGCCTCTCTCAGCCATGTAAACAAGCGTGAGCCTCCGCCCGCCCGGCCCGCGGCAGGGAGGAGCCGCCAGAGGAGGGGAGGGGCCGCCCAGGCCCGGCTGTGAGCACCGCCGCGCGTCAGCAGCCAGCAGCCAGCAGCCTCCGTCCATCGTCCACCTCTTCCCTGGCGTCCCGTCCGGATGGCCTGGCCCTGACTCACCCTCCCGGCCGGCCCCGGTTCCGCATTCCCCGCGTTCCCCGCGTTCCCCGCGTTCCCCAGGCTCCTTCCCTTCACAGGCTGAGCGATGACTCCTGGCTCCCCGCAATAAGCAAGCCCTAGCTAGCGCTCAGGCTCCCAGCCATGACCCGAGTCCCTTCCCGGCAGCCGTGGCGGGTGCTGGGGCAGAGGCTGCCGGGCACAGCAGTGCGCGGCTGCGCGTGTGGGTGTGCATGTGTGTGTGAGTGTGCGCGCGCGAGTGCGTGGCTCAGGGCA